GATCCTAAAGAATCCCACTTAACAACAGTTAAGAGGATCTTTAGATATTGTGATGTTGACTATGCTAGAGATAGATTAGAAAGGAAGAGAATAGTGGAAGCTTCCAGTTTCTAGGTGATAATCATATTTCTTGGTCCATCAAAAAGTTGGCAACAATAGCAGTATCAATTACAGAAGAGATTAAACTATATGAGAGTATCATTCATATTCTTTGCGATAATACTCCTGCAATTTGTTTATCTAAGAATCCTACTTTGCACTCCATAGCTAATCACATTGATATTAAACACCATTTTATAAAATATTATGTTCAGAAGGGTATAATTAATTTAAAATTTATAGATACAGACCATCAATGGGTTAATATTTACATAAAACCCCTTGTTGTAGATAGATTTGTTTTTATTCTAAAAATTTTGAAAATGGAACTTTGTATAGAATAAAACAAAATCTTTTTAATATGACTCAGGAGAGTCAAAATATGACTTTGAGATAAATTGGTTGTGAACTAGCTAGCCCTCTGAAGTTAGAAGACTCTCTAGGTCAAAAGATCCAAAGTCAAAATCCATATGAGATTTTCTGTCTTCTAGACTTTGAGTTTTTAAAATTAGTGGTGGCTCATTGGAATACTATTTCTTAGTTAAAGATAAAATCATTTCATTTATCCTTCTTTGTCATTTTGAGTGTGATTTAAAAAAAATTATTGTTCTTTTTAAACTCACTATGCACTCACTTCTTACACAAATACCCGTCTGAAATGGTTAAAAACATCTCTTTAAACATCAATGGCTCATTCAAATTTTGTTAATGACAAGAAATATCAAAAGCTTTGAGGAAAATATATTTTATTCAAAGAAAAATCATTACATGATTAAGGATCGGTTCAAAGACAAGCAAGAGTACAACTAAAAGATCTTCAAACTACATATGAGTGCTAACCATCCATTCTAAGAAAGTTCATCCAATCCTCATCTGCATCTGGTCCACTAATTTCAGCTGGCTTCCTTTTCTTCCTAAGGGTTTTCATATTTGAAATTGAAGTTCTTCCTACCTTGGAAGCTCTAGCATATGAACTAGTGCATATCTTGGCACTTTCATAGGATTTGGACATATAATTTTTGGGGTTCTTCTCAATATCCTTATGCTTACAAACAATAGTGTTGACATCCTTGGAAGAATCCTTATTAGCATTCCTTGATGAGTTACTCACAAGTTGAGAAATATGGAGAAGAGACAAAATGAAAAATAGAAGGTTTTTATCCTGCTATTAACGAAGTCTGTTTTATAGAGAGTGTTAGGATTAAGCCAAATAATTTGCATTTATTATGCTCCAATGACCAAAGAAGAGAGAGACAATGTTTGGTCTTCAAAGCACATCTTCCCAAGAATTGATTACTACTTATTGGACCAACTTGAGATTTGAAGAGATGGTATTAGCCACTTAAGCCTACCTATCGGATTTGAATCCTCTCCTTTTTTATATATCATGTCATCTCTCATGTTTCTAATCTAACGATTCAGAATTTATAATGAATAATTAAATAAAAAAATCATTTAATAGGAGAAAGAAATAAATAAGTAATTTGTCTTTGTTTTTTTATTTAATTATTCATTATAAATTCTGAACCGTTAGATTAGAAACATGAGAGATGTCATGATATATAAAAAAGGAGAGGATCCAAATCCCTACCTATCACTATTTTTTTACAAAGTTCATTTTATTATCTTTTCAAAAAAAAATCAATGCTCTGTAATAATGCTTTTCTGATGAGTTTAACTTATTACATGTCTTGTTACAAATGTTTTACTGCGGCATTCATTGGTAATTCTTGAGTCTTTTTCGTTTAGCTCTCTACCTATTTCTTTTAATCTTTTTAACTTTTTTCCCCTTTTTAAACTCCTCCTCAACTTTCACTCATCATCACCTTTTGCATTTTCTCAAAACACTTTTTTGAAAGTCTTACTTTCCTTCATCTCTTTCTAAATACAAAATGTTTTCCAACACTATTTATGGTGTAGCATGTCCTCTATCCATCTCCTACGAGAAAATTGTTGACTTTGCTGAACTCAGAAGTCAATGTCTTAATCTTTCTAGTACTGTCCATTCTCAGAAATGGGAAAAATACATTGACATGCTCAACAAACCCATCTATCCAATTCTTGTGAGAGAATTTTGGACAAATGTGTCCCTTAAACATCTAGGACAAGATGGTTCAAGCATCAAGTCTAATGTCTCTGATATTCCCATCATCATCACTCATGCTCTGATTGCTAAAACAATCAAGTGCAAGGAGACTGATGTCTATATGGACATGTACAGTAGGATAAGTTCCTTTCTCGAATAAATATCTTCAAAGATCCCTGCAACCTCAAATAAGCTTGCAAGTATCTCATCCCTCCTTTCCAAGGCAAAAATCTGGCACCAACAGTTGGTTTCAAACATTCAGCCACGAGAAGCAGATCTGGACACACTCAATTATAATTACAAGCATCTTATCTTCTTCATCATGTTTAGGATCAAAGTTAACCTCCTCCTCATTATCTTCAACTTTATAAAGAAAAAGATAATTGCCTCTCACGAGGGAGTGTCTTTTCTCATTCCTTTGTACATGAGTCTAAATCTCGAAATAACTAAAGAAACCTTTGGTGTTGGACACCGTGTCCCCTAGATTCTCCTTTTTTGTTTTTTTTCTTCTTTTGTATTTTTTTAATGAAGTTATTTTTATCTTTATTCTCGTTTTTTTTACTCTGAATGCATCTATTTTGTTCTTAAGCTATATTGTTTATCATAATATTTTTGATTGATGATAAAGGGAGAGAAAAATAATATGATTTTGATATATCTTCAACCCATAATAAATTTCAAACATGCTAATATCCTGCTAATTATTTTTTGAACTTCAAACTTTTTCTAGTCTCAACACATAGTGAGCTTACAAACCTCACTCTGCTAATTATTTTTTGAACTTCAAACTTTTTCTAGTCTCAATATAGAGTGAGCTTACAAACCTCACTCTGAAGAAACTTGAGAATTTTTTTATAAGTACAAAACTCAGAGGGATCTTACAAACCTATCTCTAATATTTTATAGATATGATTATCAAGTAAAAATTATTCATCAAAATACATGGATTTGTCTTCATAAAAAAAAGGGAGATTGTTGGAACAAGTTTGATTCTAAAACTATCCTTGAGTTTTGATGATAACAAAGTGTAGAGAAAATTGTAATCTAAATATTTTATTAAATACGTAGATAATAGAAAACAAATTCAGACTCTGAAGTCGACCAGACTCTGAACTAAAGATGCACTCTGAACCAAATGATCAATCAAAAACGTGTTTTCAAGGATGTCAAGCATCTGGATTGTCAAGTCAATGCTTATGCAAAGAAACTATTAAGATAGACTCTGATTAAAAACTATTACTATTCAAGCATATAAAGTTTTAGAACTCATAACTCTATAGACTCTGAAGTCTCATTTTTACAAGGTTCTGAAGATAGATTCCGAACTCTACTTAAAACTTCATCAACTTTTATTTGAAACCTCTTACTAGAGTTTTATATCCTAAAGTCAACGACTGATTGAAGTGACAAAAGTACAAAAGCGAAATTTATTTTCTATGAAAAAGGATTGCACTCTGTACCTCCAAAGTTCCTCACGTCTCATCATCCTCATCAACTCTCTGCTGCAAGCGTCACTCTAATGTTGTAAAATGAAGTGACCTTCATACAACTATTATATTAAATATAATTTCAACTTTACTCTCCAACGGGTCTATTCTTTCCTATATAAATTGGTCTTGAAATCTTGGAAAGAGTATAAGAGCATATAACAAAAACTGTATAAGATTTCAAAATGCTCATACGTGAAAAGAAAAAGGAAAGTGTTTTCACCTTATGAAAACTATAACATCCATACACGTTTGAACACTTTCTTGAGATATTTCTTAAGTGTATTATTTGTTTTAAACTTGTGTATCTGCTTATTTAGAAGCATCATGTAAACACAACCTTGTTGGATGATGTTACACCAAAACTCAAACATTTATCGAAAATTCGAAAAACTTACAAAAAATTGATGTTTTTGATGAAGTTGGATGATGTTATAGATGAAGATTGATGTTCCCTTGAGTTCTCTTATTGAATGAAATTTGACTTGATTTAGAGAATTTTTTTTTAGAGAAGTTGAAGTTGAAGAAATGTGAAATAAGGAATGAGAAGAGTCTGACGCAACTTAACCTTCAAAATATTTCAGAGATACATCTCTGAAATATTGTAATGTTATCTGACCTTTTGAAGTGTTTGAAAATGTATCTCCAAAAACTAAAAATATTTTTAAAATTTTGTATGATATGGAAAACATTAAGAAATTGTCAAAATCAAATGTAAATGGGCTTACATCGCATGGGATAAGAAAGATCAATCATTTTCTCCAAGTGAGTCAATCAAAAAGATGTAGTACACTTATGTCTCACGGGACACAAACATAAACACCATGAGTTAAGGGGCTATAATTCTTTCTCAACACCTTCTTATGATGAATTACTGTTTCAAGATATGCATGCTGAGGCATTACAAGCTTTCAATAAAGTACCCTTCCAAAAGAAAATTATTTAAAAATTGAAAGGTGAAGTTTATAATCTGAAATATGTTTTATATTCTTTAAAAATGAGGATTGCCTCTCAAGTAAATGAATAATATTGAATCTTTCAAGTTGAAACCTGAGAGCTGTAGAGTTTTGTCCATACTTTCATAATGGATTAGTTCTCTAAAATGCAAAATGATATCAGCTTCCAAAGTTTAAACAATGTTTGGTATCAATCTCAATGTCTCATTATCATACGAGAAGCAATTATTTCAGACTTCAAATCTCAAGAAAGCTGTGAAACTAAATGCATTGTGGATCCAATGTTCACACATTCTTAGCAAAACAAAAATGGTAAGAGTTTCTTTTATAATCAGCTAAGGCCATGGAGTGCACTATGATGAAGCCGATCAATCAAAACTGAAACTGCGTCTCAGGTGCGTATTCCAGGGCTTCAAGGTGAGCAGCCATTGCCTTGTTCATTGGTGGCGGACCACATCTCAATATCTGAAATTCCTCAAAAACATGTCTCTAATAAGTTATCTCCTCTTTTACTTTCAATATGTAGAAGAAAAAAACATCATTTTGGAGGAATGCGCAAAATAATGAAAACAATTTACCTTAATATCTTGTGCTGGAGGAGGCAAATGTGTTTGAATCATCTCCTTTGATACAAATCCGACGCCACCGTCCCATACCTCGGGAGGCTAAAAATATTACATAACGAGTTCAATGAACAAACTCTTCTTCGTTTCAAATAAAGAAAGGAAACACAACGAATGCTAGAGACAATATAAATAACAGTTCTTACAAGACATAGCAACTAACCTGATTTAATACATAGTAAATTTTGAATCGATCTGGATAGTTACTAGCAAGACCATCAAGTTCGTCCTGCACGTGCATATAAGTAGATTTCCAATAGAAATTGTGAGCATTGCATAAGGAAACATACTAAAAATAACAATTACGAATCTACATTAATGACGAGGATAGTATATAAATGATATTACCTTCAAAAGAATGTCCTCGTATGTAACATTGGCGTAGATAAGATGCACCTTGGTCTTGTCATTCGGGTTTTCTAAAATTGCTCTAGCAACCTTGAATGACAACAAGCAAACAAATTAAGAACATTTAGAACTACAAAAAAGAATATTCTTCTTAATGACAAACAAAAAAACATTATACTTCTTAATAACATACTTGGAACATTGGAGTGATTCCAGACCCTCCGGCAAGCATCCCGAATGCTCGAACCTCACCCGGTTGGTACTTGAAACGTCCCTGAAAGCAATTACGTCTTAAATCTCCAACTATCCAAATAACGATTCTTTCGTTTGGTATAAAAACATTTCACTCCTAAGTTGAAGAAAATGAAATTTACCTTTGGTCCTTTAACAGCAAGATACTCCCCAACGCGCATCTCACGGAAATGGTGTGACATCCTTCCTTGTGGGTACATCTAATGAAAGAATATGTTAGACAGAACCAAATAATTAAGGGACAAAACGAAGAATATTGCACGTAAGTTAGAAAAAGCATTATAAGACATAAAATCAATAGCTTCAGTAAACAAACACCTTGATAACTAGTTCAAAATGTCCAACATCAGAATCTAATGTTGTTGGAGTATACGGTTTGATAACCTCAGCACCTTCACCATCCTTACCCCTGTGTGAAAAGTAGCTTGTTCACAATACAAAAATAAAGGAAAAACTCGTACTATACTTACTTCTACAGAACATAAATATATGTTGAAATAATTAGAGTGAAATGAAAAATGGACACGAAACAGGACAAGGCAACAGAACCTGCAACTTATGTGCTGTCCGATTGGAAGGCCCAAAACAGAAGTAGGTGTCGGGAGTGCAAAAGTGAACTTTGCAACATTATGGCTCAGTTGTTCTTTCTTGACAAGCTTAAACTCCTTGAACTGCTCTGGGTTTAAGATGCCTATAAGCACACATGATACGATTGAATGTTAAAACTCAACATGTAAACAACAAAAACCAACAAAATAACAAGAAAAATATATATAAAAAATATAGTATTATCTAAATGAGTTTCACTTCATATCAAATAATTTCCGGCAAGGGAAAACACCGAAATCTGATGATAATAAATTAAAAACCAAAAGGCAGTCATCAAGCACACTTATAACGTAAAACATACAAAGTATAGAAAAACAAAAGAGCTGTGACTAGAGCCAATATCTCTTTGACTTTTTTTTCAAATCTTAGTAACCCACTAATCCAAGAGGACCAATTCCACCGTCCACTTGTTGAAGCCCGGTTTTATGCATGGCCAAAGCTCTGTATGGATTTGGCCCAACATAGGAATTGTTGCATATAGCGGGATTTGAACCTAAGACTTGAGCATAGTACACTGTCAGGACCTTAAAACAAAGTCCAACCAAATCATATGTATCAGCTAATAATTTTTCAAAAACACAAACAACCAATTGCACCGTGAGTAGAAAAACATGAAAAAGGGATTAATTACTATGCATTGACAAATTTTACAGGATCAATTCATCACCGTCACCCGTTTGCATTATTCTACAAGTTACTAAAATAAAATCAAATTACTTTTACATCCAACGTCTATAATTAGCTGACAGTGTAAAAGGAGGGCATTTCAATTAAATTCTTATAAAAACATACAAGAGCCATTAGCAATACAACTTGATAACAACTAGTTTTATGAACAATATTAAGAATGAAAACATCATATGAAAAACAAAAGACAAAACAAAAAAAACATTATTGACATCAAATTTTCATAAAAAATCAACAAAACTATGTTGGGTCTACCAAGACAAAAAAAAAAATAGACCCAGGATTCTAAATCTTCAGAGAATGAAAATTCAACCGACCCATATGAATAAATCAAAGCAGAATCAAAGAATCTGAAGTGCACAAAAGATGAAATTCAAAAAAGGTGAAACCTTTGGACTTCTTGGAGGAAAAGAGATAGACAGCAGCAACCCCAACAGCTACAACAGCTACAGCGACGCCCACAAGAATCTGATTTTCCGGTGTATGTAGAAAATCCATGATTTGAAAAATTGGATTTGTGAAGGGAATGAAGGAAATGGAAAATAAAAAGAGAACGGAAAATTGGTAGTAGGTGAAAAGAGTGAGGTGATGTGTGTGGAAAAAGAGTAAATCTGGTGCAACTACCAACTTCGGGTGGCTGATCAATTCGCCCAATCTATCAATTTTTTCAATAAATTATTATTTTATGTATTGATGATTTAATATTTACTTAAAATATATTTCTTCATCTCCTATCTACTATTCTACTATCAACCATTCAAAATACAATGGCATGATTTTACTAATTTGTCCATCTAATTATTTTAATTTACATTATTAAATGGACAAATAAATAATTAATAAATGTCACAGATAAATCTCAATCAAACCTCTCTTTACATGAACAATCACTCACCAATTAGTTGTTGTTGTAATTGTATTTTTGTATGTCGAATATAATCACACATGATGTATATTTATATGCAAAATAGGTATACACAATAGGTAATAACATAATTTACACTTATGACTAATTGAATGCAAATTAATAGTAATCAATTCTCAACACTCTCCCTCAAGTCGGATCGTATATATTTGTTACCGATATAATTTACTCGAGAACCCTTAAGAGACTTGGTAAACATATCCGCCCATTGATCTCCAGATTTGATGAACTTTGTGGTTATTTCTCATGACAGTATTTTTTCTCTTACATAATGACAATCTATTTCTATGTGTTTGGTCCGTTCATGGAATACCAGATTGGATGCAATGTGAAGTGCCGCTTGATTATCGCATATGAGTCTTGTGTCTTGAAGATCTCCCAACCTAAGTGAAGGTGAGAAAATACTTAGAAGGGGGGTTGAATAAGTATGAAGATAAAACTCAGAAGTTAAAACTCAAGTATTTTTATCCTGATTCGTTGAACTCAACTACTCCAGTCCACCCTATCTAGAGTGATTTGCCTTTCTCAAACAAGGACTTAATCCATTATTTAATCAACTGATTACAATAGTAAGCACTAAGAACAACTGTTCAAAGTCTTCTCAAGAACTACTGATCCCAACTGGATCTTCTTAAGGAACTATTACAATGAAATGTAAGATTAATACAAGTGTTTGAATGCTTCTAACAAGCTTTATCACAACAGTGATTTTTCACTTAATATTAAGAACAAAAGAATAAACTCAGTAATAAGAATATTTTATGAGAGCTTGTAAGAGTTTCTATCAAAGATTCGTTGGTTGTTGATCACCTTGAAGAAGATGAGGAAGACTTGTTTTTATATGCACAGTAGTCCACAAAGTCTTGACGTTGGAGGCTGTGTACTGAAAAGGCCTGAACCTTTTTGTCTTTACATCACATGACCTTTCCTGGAAGTAGAATGCACAGAGAAATGCTTTTGGTCTGTGTTCTAGTGTCAAGCATGAAAGAGGAAAGAGTCGTTGAGCCAAATCAAAAGATATTACTTTGAATTCTTCTTCAATAAGTATTTCTTTTCAGCAAAGTAAATCATCAGATTTTGCATGATCAGAGTCTTAGATACCCATCAGATTTTGCTAAATCAGAGTAATGCAGCAAGTGTGCTTTAGCGTGTAGTTCTATCAGAGCAGAGTTTTATGAATCAGATCCTTAGTACATGCAGCATGCAGTACTCTCAGAGTCTTCTGAAAAACTGTGCTTCTTAACTCTCATACAAAGTTCTTCAATGCTTCAGAGTCTTCAGATCTTATTAGAGCCTTCTGCTTCAGATTCTTCTGCAGCTTCTGCTTCAGATTCTTCTGTAGCTTCTGCTTCAGATTCTTCTGCAGGCAACTCTCAAATTCTTCTATAAGATGATTCTAACTCTTCAGAGCCTTCCATAGTTCCATGTTCAGATTAATTTGCTCTTGGATGTATATATACTTTAATCATCTGCAGCAAATATTCATGAACCAATTTTAGAGTATATAATTCTTTAATACAAAATTTCATAAGAGTTATCATCAAAACATAGAGATATTACTAAGAAACAATCTGTGTTCTTACAATCTCCCCCTTTTTGATGATGACAAAACATGAGAAATTTTGTTCAATAAAAAAAGCAATAATTATAACTCCCCCTGAGATTAAGAATCTCCCCATGAAATGAATACTCTAAGGAAAAGAATACTTCCCTTTTTGCTTGAGTGTATTTCAGAATCAGAGTCTGATGACTTCTTTCAAACACAGAGTCTGGTTATGCGTTTAGACTCAGAGTACAATTTGCTTCAAGAATTAGAGTCTGGTTGGGTAATTCTCAGGATAACTTCAATGAATTTATTTTGTCAGATGAAACAATAGAATCTGAAAGACTTAAATTCAAAGATAGTTAATAATATGTCTGAATTTTGTTTTAGTATTTGCTTATGGATTGAACAATCAGATTCTTTTTCTCCCCCTTTTTGTCATAATCAAAAGGATGTGTAAAGACAGAAAAGATAACAGAAGAAAAACATAACAAACATTATCATTTAATCAGATGATTCTCATAACAGATGATAAAAACATAAGCAAAATAAGACAGATGCAAACAACAGTGCACAAAAAAAAACATGAAAAGAAACTAAGGTTGGCGAGATGCAATCAGGGTCAGAAGATCTGTGATCTTTGTAGTTGACTCTTCTTGCTTGGCCATCCAAGTCTTAATCTCTTCAGTGGTTTGTTCTTGTTTGATCATCCAGGACTTGATTTCCTTAACCTCTTTCACAAGTTCTGAATTGTCAGCCTTCACTTCAGATGCAGATGCATTAATGTCCATATCAGATGCAACATCTTCAGATGGAGAGTCTTCAGCAGGAGCAACTTCCAGAAGTAGCACTGGTGGTTTGGGAATGCTCATCAGAGTCTGTATTACCAACTCAGCAAACTTTGCCTTAGCATCTTCAGCACAAACTGTCTTGAGATGAGAGGCCACCACGTTGAACTTAGAGATAAACTTATCCCAAGCAGCTTCAGACTTAACAGGATCTATACTGAACAGACACTCTTCTTCCACACGTGCAATCCCTATACGGACTTCCTTTTTGAAATTTTCAAACAATTTATCAACATCTGATCTAGGGTTGGGGTAAAGAAATTCCTCAAGAGTCACTTTCTCAGCAAATTCAGAGTTTGGTTGAGGTTGTTCACAAGTGGTGTTAGGAGGTGTTGGATCAGATGGTGGTTGTTCAGATGGTTGAGGTGCAGATTGTTGAGGTTCAGATGGTTGAGGTTCATATGGTTGTGGTATGGTGAGTTGAGGTGTAGGGGTTGGTGAAATTTCAGCTTCAGATGATGAATGTTGAAAATCTGAGAGGTTGAATTTTGAACAAAGTGAAAGTCTAGGATTTATTTGGTCAGGTGCTGATAGATCAGAAAATGCAGGTTTGAATGGATCAGGAATGTGTAAACAAGAGGGTGAGTGAACTTCTGATTCAGAATCAGATGATTCAGTGGAGTGACATGAAGTGGATGACAAGACAACCATGGTTGCAAGTGGTTCTAAATCAAGAATATCATTTGAGGGTTCTGGAACAGGTAACGGTTGTTCTATTATTGAGGGATGTACAGATGGAGTTGGTTGGGGAGGTTCAGATGAAATGGGTTGAGATTGATGTTCTGGAAGTTGTTGTTGTTCTGGTTGTAATTTTTGTTGTTGTTCTGGTTGTAGTTGTTGTTGTTGAGGTTCTGGTTGTTGTTGTTGCTGTTGTTGAGGTTCTGGCTGAGGTGGTTCTTGTTGTTGATGTTCTGGTTGTGTTTTTGTTTGAGGTGGTTCAAATGGAGTTTGTACAGAAGATGGTTGTGAAGGTGTAGTTTGAGATGGAGGGGGTTCAGATGTATGAATTTCAGATGATGGTGGTACAGATGATTGTGGTCTAGAAGGTGATGGAGGAGGTGAAGGTAATGGAGAGTGAATGGTTGGAGTTGGATCAGATGTTAATACATGTTTGATAGTTTCTCTTATGTCTTCCAGACATGCCTCTGGAGGAGTGGGTTTCACTTTCTTTACCTTCTGAGGCTTAACAGCAGCTTCAGAGGCTTTTCTCTTTGGCTGAGCCTCAGATCCTTCTTCAACAATCTTCTTTGAACGCCTTTCTCTAACAAGATTAGGCAGAACTTCTCCTTCCTTCTGGACGATGTTCACAGGCAGAGGAACACCATTTGACAGACAATCAGCTATGTAGGATAAGATGATTTCCCTTGGTTCGTCAGCACTGAACATTGGAAAATCTTCAACAGGAATCCTTCTGTTGCTGACATCCTTAGTAGCAATTTTCTTAGGTTTGCTGGCAAGCTCTGTGATGACTTTCATCCTCTTCAGAGTATTGCCATTGATGACAGAACCTATGACATATGACAGATCCTCTGTCAATCCAGTATCATACAGATATTTTACAAGACCATTCTCTGTTAGAATGTCTGATATCGGTCTACCCATAGGAATCCAATTCCTAACTTTTCCAGTTTTGACTCTTACATCTTCTCTTGTTTCCTTTATATGATTCAGAAGGTGACTGAATAGAAGATAAGGCAAGTCCACCTTCTTTCCCTTGCTCATACAGAACATAAAGTATAGTTGTTCAGCACTGACATAATCTGGGGAATTTGATGATTTTCTGTGAAAGATGGAACTCATGAAAATCTTGGCCCAGATCCTGTAGACTGGCTTCAGTTCCCTTACTTTGCTAGTTGGTTCCCCAGAAATAGTAACTTCTTGAAACACATCAGCAAGATCCACACGAGCAGATTGTAGACTGGTTTCACCATCAGTTCTAGAGTACCCAATGAGTTGTTTGATTAGCTTCTCAGTAATCACAATCTCCTTTCCAAGGACAGAAGAATGGATGAATTTAGGGCACACCTGAGCATTTATCCAGAATTCTTTCACCAAAGTTGGATAAGCAGGACCCATAAGCTTGTCAAAATACTTTGTCCAACTCTGAGTTTGAATGGTTGAAGAAAGATTAAATCCATTTTCTTCAATGGACTCAAAGTCTATGAAGCATTCACTCAGAACT